AATCCCTTTTTAAAAAAAAAAAAAAAATGTTTTGCCTAGTGTTGAGCTTTAAATTTAATACACAAATGTTTAAATAAAAGATGACCATGTGTTGTATAATGATTGAATACATTTTCCAACACATCTGATCAACACTGACAATCTAACCTGCACGTTTTGCATTCTTTCTCTTGCAGGAAGTTATGTTTGATTGGAATCAGTATGCGGACACATCATTCAGGTTCTATGATCAATCGTTAATTGATGAGTTACACGAGTTACCACAAGACCCTCTGCTGCATGAGTTCTTCAGAGCAGTTGCGCTGTGTCATACTGTGATGGCAGATGATGAGAAGGGTAGGACTACTTTACAGCATTACTAGCAAAGTGTGCTGGTCAGTTGACTGGGATTATTATGGAGGTCATTGTAGTGCCCACGGGGGCAAAAGTGCTCATCGGCCTCAAGCCTTCCCCCTCCGCTAGATTTTCCTCTCCTGCATTTATCCTGTGGCCTCTACGAGCCACACAGCCCATATGACTGCCTGTAATTGGAGCAGTGCAGGGATCAACACTGGTAGTGCCTACTGGAAATTTGTGGTAGTGGTGCCATATTCTCAGAGACCACACTAGAAGCAGATGCATGGTAGTAGGGCCATTTTGTGCGAGCCCAAAATAAGGTGTGTGCCTACCACACATATGCAGTAGCAACACCAGTTTCCTATGCTAGAAGCACCTATCATCTTAGCCTAGGCACAGTTACTGTATTTGAGCTTAAGCGTGGCGTAATAATGATAAATGGTGGACCTTAAACAGACGCAGTATATATGATATGACAGGAATTTATTAATGCAGGCTTTCAATGTTACTACAAGATCAACTTTAAGAGTGTATAAAAATTTGGTAGACGGGGCATAAACAAGAAGTAAAAAACGATTTATACAACTCTGCATGCTGATAGGAAATCATCTTACATTCATTAGTTATACAAACCATATTTTTATTTTACTTACAATTTTTTTTTCACTTCCTGGTCCACTTTGGCACAAGTTACATAGTTACATAGTTACATAGTATTTGAGGTTGAATAAAGACATTAGTCCATCAAGTCCAACCTATTAGGATCTCATTCTAGGAGTACCTGTACCCCTGTATATTACGGTCCCTTAAGAAATCGTCCAAAAGTTTCTTGAACAATTCCACATTCTTTGCTGAAATCACTGTCTGTGGCAGTGAGTTCCAGACCCTAACTGATCTTACTGTGAAGAACCCCCTTCGCCCCTTGTGCTGGAATTTTTTTTCCACCAATTTTAGGTGGTGGCCTCTAGTTTTTGTAATGGAGTTAATTTTAAACAGTTTATCGCTAATGTTGCTGCCACCATTGAACATTTTGTACATGGAGATCATATCCCCCCTCAATCTCCTCACCTCCAATGTGAACATGTTTAAATTTAGTAGCCTTGTCTCGTAGCTCTGGTCCTCCATACCCCTAATTAGTTTGGTTGCCCTCCGCTGGACTTTTTCCAACTCAAGGACATCTTTTCTTAGTACTGGTGACCAGAACTGGACCGCGTACTCCAGATGAGGTCGAACCAATGATCTATAAAGTGGCAAAATTATAGACTTGTCCCTGCAATACATCCCCTTTTTAATACAGGACAAGACCCTGCTAGCTTTGTTTACAGCAGCCTGGCACTGCAAACTACCTTTCAGTTTGTGGTCTACAATGACCCCCAAATCCTTCTCCATTTCTGACTTCCCTAGCGGCATACCCATAATTGTAACAAGTGATATAATGTACCCAAGCATTCATCCTGGGAAGGTTATTTTACAGGGCATTGCTGGGAAATCACATCTGTAAACTCATGAGATCTCAGGGAAAGACATTTTCCTCCCCTGAGATGATGTGCATGGTCACATGTCATATGTGCCAGAGATACAGGAAGTAAAGGGAGATCTAGTAACCCGTCCTTAGTGAAAATGGCCACTGTGAGAAGACTGGGGAAGAAAATAAAAATAAGGTATGCAAAGCCAGCAACTATCTAGAAGTATCTGTTTGTAGATTGTCATTCTAAACATCTCTAAAGGTGACTTTGTTGTTATTTCGAAGATATGGGTAGAGTTCCTCTTTAACTTATATGTTGTTGGTACCTTTTTCTAGGGATGCACCAATACCGATACTTGGTGACGAGAGCATGGAGCCGGCTTCCCGGGAAATCAGGAAGCCGGGCGGTGTGTAATGACTCGCTATCTGACTTCCTAAATGGGTGGGAAGCTGGCTAATCAGTAAGCTTGGCGGTAAATCACTACCTGCCCCCCAGCCTCCTGATTGGCAAGAAAGCTGGCTCCATGCTTCCTCATCACCTAGTGGCGAGGCAAACTCTGGCACGAGTCATTACACGCCGCCTCACTTCCGTAATGGGACTTCCGGTATCGGTATTCGGTATCGGCAAGTACAAGGAAAAAAAATCAGTACTTGATACCAAAAAAACGGCATTGGTTCATCCCTACCTTTTTCCAAAACTATGTACATTATAAGTATTGCAAAACTATTGTTACCATTCGGGTGAAATAATTATTTTTAAAAAATTAATGTTTATTGGGCGTCTGAGATGAAGGGAGAAGATTTAGGAAGTTACAAAAATGTTGTATATTGAAGCTTACTAGTCTTTAGATAAGGTGGCTGCATTAGTTTCTTATTTTCTGCCTTTTTTCTTTATTTTCATCCGGTGATCGTGTCAGTAACTTACTGCCTGTTTCGGGGCGACAATGTTCCTACTGTATTAGGAAAATTGAAAAAGACGGGGCTACAGACTCCTCCACATCTTCTCATTTCCATAACCAGTGGTGTAACCATGTATCCATAGCAGCCATGGCCAGGAGGTGGGAGGAGGCCCCACTATGCAGGCTGTTGAGGCAAATGAAACCTAGAAAATCTGTGTGCTTGTGATTTAATAACACAAATTCAGTATTGTAGCATTGGGGTTGTAGATGTTTCCATTGATACTGACATTGACCCCCCTGTGAAATCTCCATTTTAGAAAATCCAACGATAGGCACACAGGAAGATTCATCAGGATCATTGCTAGCCCCCCTTGCTGTCCTTGGCAGCAAGAATTTGCCCAAAAGCTTATTGGGTGTCCTAGCAGTACAGCAGCAGCCGGTTTATAGCCCTCAGGGCTTCTGCCACTGCTCCACTACCACTTTGGGATTACCGTGAGCTTCTTGTTAGCTACCCAGGGTTAATTCAGAGTGTCTCCTTAGCTAAAAAACAATAAGACAAGCGAGGTGTGTAGGTATAAAAAAAAAGTGGCTCACTAAAGATGTTTATTTTGGGGCTATAGATTTATTTGTGTAGGAGTATTTTGATGGTTATGAATAATATTGCTACTATAACTTTGTAGCATTGGTGCCCCAGTCTTCCTTTGCACATTTTATCCACAGCAATGGTTCATAGTAGTGTACTTACTAAGTTGACATCTGTCCTGTTACTGTGCTTGATTTTGGCATAATTTATGTTATGATCACTGACAGCTTTGTCACAATTGACACTGCCGGGGGAATGGGGGGGGCGCCCTATCAAAATGTTGCTTTGGTTTACCATGGCCTATGATTTGTAATTATACCCCTGTCCATAAGAGATGGAAGGGGGTCATGTAGTCTTCAGAGAACAATGGGAACAATGTAACTGATTTCCAGTCATTCTATGATGTACAGGAAACAAGCTTGCATATGACCAGCATCCCTGCCTTGCAGAAGACAGAAGTTCTTTCATTTTCACATTCGGATTGAATTCCAATATAGACTGAAATTTGTAACTTTCCTTACAGGGTTTGTGAAATACAAGGCTACCTCTCCTGATGAAGAGGCTTTGGTGACTGCTGCAAGAAATTTTGGTTATGCATTCCTTACCCGCACTCAAGATTCCATCACAATCAGCGAGATGGGTGCAATAAAGACTTATAGCATTCTGGCACTGATGGACTTCAATAGTTTCCGAAAGAGAATGTCAATTCTAGGTAACGTGGATTTAGCATATGTTGCTAAATGTTTGTCCTAGTTAGGGCTGGGCCCACGCAAAGGCACAAGAGGTATCCATTTTGGCCTCTGTGGTGGGGTGCAGCTGGGGCCAAGGCCTCACCCAGTGGATACTGCTGGTGTAATGTGCAAGGCTTGGCTTTCCCATTGACCGCCGAGTCCTGCTCCCACAGAAGTGATGAGGGCAACCTCTGTACGAATGAAGCTTTCAAAACTGAAGTTGTAGGTCTCATTCGTAACCACAATAATACACTGTGTTTTTAGATTGTGCTTTATAAGAAAATCAACGATTTTCCTAGGTCTACAAATGATGTCACCTTCAGAAACTTGCAATTGTTTAGAAAAAAAATGTTTTTAAGAGTTGTTCTTATTTAAACCTTTATTAACTATTAGCTAATATGTACAGTATTTTGCTATTTGCTCTTTTAAAATCTTTTTTCCACTCCTCCGCTTGGCTTTTTCTTTTTTCTTTTTTTGTGTGCGTTTCTGCTAAAGTAGTTTTAAGGTACCTTAGTTCTCAGATAAAATAAAAAATGGCAACGTAAACCTGGCTCTTTTATTGCTCCTTATGACTAAATCATAATGCTTTAACTACACCTGTTGAGCCAAGCCCATGTAAAACAAGGTTTTCCCATCCCAGTTGGATCCCTTCTACTCCAACCGTTGAAGGTAAATTTGGCATCTTCAACTAAGGGTGCTAGAGGACAGTGTTCTTGCCCAGTGCCTTGGTAAATCATACTGCTTATCAACTGCGATACCTGTTAAAGATTTGTACATTTGTGGTTCTGGCATCCCTACAAATCACTATGCTCAGGTCAGTGACACCAATTTTCCCCACTACAGTTAAGCAATGCAGCCTAATCACCTATCTGATCCAAGCTTGCTGTTTGCTTGATGATCTACGTGTATATCTTTATCTTTTTCTTCACAGTAAGGAATGAAGAAGGTAAAGTAAAGCTATATAGTAAAGGTGCAGATGACGTCATTCTGGAACGTGTGTGTACAGACTGTCAAACGGAGTTCCTTAAGGAAGCCTTGAATGTAAGTTGCAAATTTTTTCTTTACAAACTAGCTCATATGTATCCTCTCCTTCCTGCCTCTTGTAAGTGGCAACAACAGTTCATATATGCCCTTCTTGTGTGTAGTGCGGATGCAGCTTTCAGTGGTAGAAGCCGTTATATAAGTGGTGGGGTGTGTGAGGGTACCTGGACACTACTTTGTCTACTAATATCTGTAGTGTGAGATCATCTAAGGCACTGCTGCCTCTGACTACTTGTCTCAGAAAATTTGGTGATGTCACTACTGTGCTTCTCACTATTCTCCTTGCTGGAGGATCTTGCATGTGGAAGCAAAACCTTGGCTCTATCAAGATGGCCATCTTAATACAGCGACATGGTGCAGAATAAGGCATGGTAAGTCTGTAATGGGGGAAAATCATCTGCAGGGAGGCCACAGGTCATACTGGTGACTAGCCCTTTGCCCTAAAGCCTGTATTTTTGGGGTCACAGCTTCCAGAGTTTAGGTCTTCTTTAAGCCTGGAGTTTGGCTTTAAACAGACATAATAATAACCCTATTCCCTGCTATACAAGAAATTGCTAGAGAGACACCTTACACATTTCTAAATGAAGTAAAATATTTAAAATGTAGAACAGTTAGCAAGTTATATGTGGAAAGTTATACGGACAACGTACCAAAATACAGCGCTCAAGACGGGGGTGGGGAGGATTGATTTCCTAGTATTTAGAATAGTACTAAATGTATTTATTTAGAATAGTACTAAATGTATTTATTTAGTTGAGCGGCTTCGGAAGCGTACGGACCGGGGTATCCGACCAATGGATGAATCCAACAGAGAAAACAAGGGGGGAAGCGCTACAAACTAAGTGAAAAGGCATTTTTTTCGGAGACAGGAAGGTGGGGGAAAAAAAGGGGGGGGGGGATGGGGGGCAGTGGTGGTTTTCGTATCCGAGTGTTATGTTCAGTGGTTGATCCAATTTTTGTCCAGATAGTCCCCATCGTCGATGACTTCGCAACACTTCTTACTTAAGAGTAAGTTTCTACATTTTTTTTCTTTGATTTGTTGTGCACCATATCCTCACCTCCATATTATACATTTATGTTTCCTGGGGACTATCTGGACAAATTGGATCAACCACTGAACATAACACTCGGATACGAAAACCACTACTGCCCCCCCCCCCCCCCCCCCCAAAGGAGGTCCAGATGGCTGGACAGAATCATGGATGGGAGAGTAAAGGAGAAGGCAGTGGGAGTAGCCCATAGACGACATGGTAAAAGAAGTTAGCAGGAGCAGATCATGGCTGAGAAGTGGGAGAGGGGCAGAACAGATGCACACAGTCAGGTATGAACTACTGTTCCTTTGTTCCAAGAACAAAATAAGATGCGACTTTCTACACAAGTCAGAAAGAGGTAGGACTTCAGCCTGTTAATAAAACGGTAGCCAACATTTTGCTCTAGCTACACTGTGGTAGTTAGGTGAATAAAGGGGCTGTACAGTGGTTTTGATATTGATTAAGTGCACTGTGATTGATGGGTCAGAGGACCAGGCACTTTCATACATAAAGGTGAAGAAGCAGTGTAATGAAGGTGCAGAAAGAAAGAGCAGGGGGGCACTAAATTAATATGGAAAGTTATACGGACAACGTACCTGTCTCTGGAAAAAAACTCCTTTTCACTTAGTTTGTAGCGCTTCCCCCCCTTGTTTTCTCAGCAAGTTATATGTGAATGTCACTTCCATGATTCATTTCAGGTGAATGTTTCAAGTCAAAGTGCATACACACCAAAAAATGCAGAACTGTTTCATTAACTAGCAAATGCTTCATAACAGCCAGAGAGACATCTGTTGGTCTCAAGGTAATATGCTTTCTGCCAAAACACAAAGTGATCTTCATTCCTATTGGGATAAAAAGCAGATGAGATCAATGTGTGTTCTTGTTTCTCCATGAAGCATCCCTTTGTAGCTCAATGTTTGCAATTGATGCTCAAACTAGCCCCAGGACTGGCTTTTATAGACTCTATATCCAGATTTTATGAGTCATTTACGGCAGTCAAAACCAGGAAAAAGCGATTTTGGTTTGCTGCTATGGGTTGGCTTTCTACCTACTGATCACTGTTTTGTTAAAACTCAAATCTAGGGGGCGTGTCCTAACCATGGCGGCGTGAGGTGCTCGTTCAGAGAGCTCCGCGGCTTCAGCGTATCATCGGCACACTTACCTCTACCTAACTCCCGCTGACACCCCGGGTTTCAGCATGTCTAAACGCCGGAAGGACGGGGGATCTAAAACTCAGGTCTCGGATGCCTCCATGCAGCAGTTTTTCTCTCCAAAAAATACGGGCCCGGTGGAGCGTGGCAGATCCAAGATGGCGCCGGCCTCATCCAGGAGGGCTCAGTCCCACAACACACGCCGACGGGGCTCCCCATCTCCGGATACCTCCCGGGCTGGATCCGCTTCCCCTGAGCTCCCCGGTCTGGACCCCCACGACGACGGCGAAGAGGGGACGGATGACCTGCCCAATGACCTGCCGGACGGGTTCCGGGCCTTGCTACGTTACCTCCCCACCAAGCAGGACTTCGAGTCCATGGTGTCCAGGGTTGAGGCGGCCTTGCGAAAGGACCTACGAGAAGTGAAGCGGGAGGTGAGAGGACTGGCCGCGACAGTGGCGGAGGTCTCGGCATCCTGCTCCACGATGGACTCGAGGATTGCGGCGCTTGAATCAGCGGCCCAAATGTCAGATCCCCGCCTTACTGACCTGCAACTCCATATGGAGGACATGGAGGATAGGGGGCGACACAACAACCTGCGCCTCCGTGGCATTCCAGAGGCCACTGGAGCCCCAGACCTGCGCCCGACCGTACAAGCAATCTTTGCATCCCTACTCGACAATGTGGACCCTGGTACCATCATCCTGGATCGGGTACATAGAGCCGCTGGGCCTAGACTGACCAACTCTACCAACCCGCGTGATGTGCTATGTCGGGTCCATTATTTCACCACGAAAGAGGAGATCCTCAGAGCAGCTTGGCGACGTAGACCCGTGGAGTTCGATGGCGTGCAGATTCAAATCCTCCCGGATCTATCTCGCAACACCCTCAGGCGTCGAGCAATCCTTCGCCCGGTCCTAGATCTAATACGCAGCACGGGGGCGACATACCGATGGGGTTTCCCGTTTCATCTAATAGTCAAGAAGGGTGAGTCCATTTACATGCTTCGCTCCCCGAAAGATATCCCGGGCCTGGGCGGCTTCCTGCATGTGGATGTCCCACCTCCTGACGACTGGCTGGCTTACATCATGGAGGGGCCTCGGAGACCACCTACTACCCAGCGCAGGGCCCGCTCCAGATCTGGCTCCTCACGCCCGGACCGCCGACGCATGGAGAGTAGTGGAGATCCCAGGACATCGGTGGAGGCCTAACCTACTATGGATGCCCTGACCTTCTGGAAGTTCCGGTATTGGCTTTAATGTTCATTCATTTATTTTTCTCTTGGTTTTTTATGGGCCTCGTACTGATGGGTCTGGCCCTCCGCGCTCCCCTCGGTCCTCTCCCACTTCAGGGGCTAGTGTTTCGACGAGACCACTGGGGATTACACACCCTCATGGTACCGAGTTACCGTGGACTACCATCTCTCTACCCAGACGTTGACTCAGGGATTTACTCCGGATTCACTCCACTGTAAGGTGATGGGGCATTCTGATCCCAGTTGTACGCGATCAGTGGCTGCGTCCACTGCTTTGGTATTGGAAATGTTGTCCCTTACTTACTTTCTGTTGCATGTATTCTTGAAAACCTGTTCAATAAAAGAATTTATAAAAAAAAAAAAACCCCAAATCTAGTTTGGGGAAAAAATTATTTCCCATCAACTTTTTAAAAAAATAAAGCAGCCCTGGATGCCAATGTACTTTTATCTCTAGTGCTGTCCTCCACAGACTCACTCATCTGGTGATGCTTTTACGCTTCTCTTTAGAGACAAATGACAACAAGCATCATTCAGCCTAATTCCTGTGAGCCCAAGATGCCACGGCCATGCCTTCAGCTGTGAACTCACAGGAGAATGCTGCAGACAGCGGTGCCATGTAATGTAACACCATTCTTTGTAGCATTCAGGATTTGCCAACAGCTAAAAGGACTTGGGACATGACTGGACTGAAGGCATCTGAAAAAAAATGTATTTGCAAAGTTTTTTTCTTTTTTGGGTGGGAGTGCTCTAATGCCGGGGAGAGGGGGATCTTAGGCCGGAGTCAAATTTTAACCTTTTTTATCTTCCATGTGTATTTAAATAAGATTGTTTTTTCGAGTTTTATTCTGATGTATTTTTGCTTCTATAGCACTTTGCTGAAGAGACCCTGAGAACACTGTGCTTGGCCTGTAAAGAAGTAGAAGAACAAGACTATCTGACCTGGGAGAAAAATCGCAATGAAGCCTCCCTAACGCTTGAGAATCGTCAAGCTCATCTTGAAAACGTATATGAAGATATGGAGCAGAGTCTGCAGGTATAATGTTTCCAAATCACTGCTCAAAACTCTGTAGCAGGCTTAGTAGTAAACCAACAGGAAGCACTAATGATATGAAGTTCTGTAACGCAAAGCAACCCTGTAAACCTCAAATCTTCAGTATATCTCACTGTACAACAGATTCACAAAAACGTATTTGCTTAAGAAAGATGTATAAAGTGTCAAATATCCTGCCAGTAACACCACTTCTTGGTAGGGCTGCCACCTGTCTGGTTTTTACCTGGACAGTCCAGTTTTGGAGTCTTGTGTTTGGGTGTCCAGCCAGTGGGCACCCGGACACTTGACATTCAGTGCCGACACCGACACTTTAAAATTTCTGACAGATATGGCTTCCAAGGTCCTTGGCAAGCACGATTCCGGGCAGCCGCATCGGCCTGAAACAGGATCTTCCTCTGAGCTGTGCGATCTCGGGCAGCCACATTTGAGATTGCTCCTCTTTCTCCTTCTCCTCTGGCTCCCTGACACCATGCTGCCCGTCTGCGGACCCCTGGTGAGACGCCATAACCCTGACAGCCCTAAAAGTGTTGCACTGCCCACCTGAGAGTTGCACTGCCCACCTGAGAGTCGCACTGCCCATCCTAGAGCCCGCACAGACCACCCGAGAGCCCACACAGCCCATCTGGGAGCCCGCACAGGCCACCAGACCACCTGGAGACAACAGGGCGCCAACCCAAAACAGCACAGAGTATGTAGCTTCATATTATTTTGTATTTATGTATAATGCATTTCTGGGATTTGTAGTCCTCTATAGCTGGTCTCCTTACTCCCTACCCTGGCTGCTTCTCCTCACTGTCTCCTCTATATTCTCAACAACAAAAAATGCAGAGGGTGGCGCTAGAGTGTTCGGGATTCACTTGAAGAAAGGGTGGCAGCCCTACTTCCTGGTCCAGGCTGACAACATTTAGCAACTGCCTCTCAGCAGCAGTGTTGGCCACTGTGTGTGTTACTTCAGTCTCTAAAGTAGATAAATGTATTGAATGGGTTTCCTTTTTAGTAGTGTTTTTTTTATATGCTACATAATCATAGTACAAACTGATTAATAGGTTATTCTGTGTGTCTCAGATACTTGGAGCCACTGCCATAGAAGACAAGCTACAGGAAGGAGTACCGGAGACCATCCAACTTTTGAAAGACGGGAACATTAAAGTGTGGATGCTCACTGGGGATAAGAAAGGTACAGATACTTGTTTCTGAGTGTTTAGGTCATTTTAGGCCTGTCCCTTGAGTTTTAGGCAGAATGCCCTTTGCCTTGGGTTGTAAAGGCAGGTGGAAGGATGGAGGAGAGGAGAGTGTCCTGTGAAGTAAGATACTTGTTTTCCCCTGTCACCATGGACCATAAATTGTCCTGCACCACATTTTGTGAGTACCTTTATTAGAATGAAGCACCCTTGTATAATGGAAAAAAGGCAAGCCAGGAAGATAGTGTACCATTATGTGGGCACCAATTATGCAAACAAAATGGAATTGGTGCAATTCCATTACAGAAGATGAAACCTTATATGCAACCCCTGAATGTGGTACCATTTTCTTGGAAAAAGCATCCATGTATTCTTCTGTGAATTGACGATTATTTAAATGAAATGATTAAGTTGTTCTAGTAAAAGCCAACTGGACATTTATTTCTTCTGGGCTGAGAGATATGTGGTATCTGTAGGGGTTCTCTGGCAGTGAGGGTTGGTGTGCCTGGTGACTACTCTGACCTTCTTAGGTATGAAGTGAATGCTGAAGATTACACTCATGGGTTAAGCCTGGGTACAAGCAGAGAAGGGTTCCCCTGAAGATTGTGTAGAGCGAGCCGGTTGAAAAATAGCCTGCGGACTGTGGTGCCTGTCTTGGGGGGCAGAGTTCGCCCTGAAGACTGTGTGAAGACCTAAAGGGTCTGGTATGAATTGGGGGGGAACCTCACGCTTTTTTTTTTTTTCCATCTCTGCAGACTGTAAAAAAAAAAAAATGTTTTTTTTCTAATGTCACTTTGCTGCTAACGAAATTCCGTCCAATAAACGAAATTTCGACCGGACTACCGCTAACAAATTTCGGGAAATCGGGAATTCGGATTCGTTTGCATTCATTTTAGCTGTAATTCGGAATTCGGATGCATCTGAATCTCCGTCTGAATTTCGATTCGTTTGTATTCGCTTTAGCTGTAATTTGGATGCATCCGAATCTCCAAATTCCCAAAAAAAATTCCGAATTTCGATTCGGAATGAAACAAATCGCACATGTCTATTGATTGCTACTTGCAATTTTCATGCATTTCCTTCAGTCGTTATACATTGACCCGGCTGATCCTCTATTATTTAGAAACAAGAAATACTTAGAGGCAATACTTTTTTTTTTTTTTGCAGAGACGGCTATAAACATAGCATATTCCTGTAACCTTCTTTCCAGCAACATGCAGCTTTTGGACGAGTCTGATATAAGGTAGGACTTTGGCCACGTCAAACAGCAGGCATAAGAAAAATGCCATTTAGGTGGCATGGCCCCCTTTTTTCAAAGCCCATCTTAAAGAGAACTTGCCAGGAAAGAAACACGGGAGTTGCTATTGCTGATTTGTCAAAGATAAAAGCTCTAAGGCTGTCATCTGAATTCTGCTTTTAGCACTTAGGGTAGCATAGGAAATAAGTATTTATTTCCTATGCTCCTCAGCTCCATCTAATGCCGAACAAAAAAGAAAAATATATCTAACGTTTGTTTATTGTGTCAATTCGCACAGAATGAATGTTCATAAAGATTCGTAGGGTGAATGGCTCTGAAAATTGGTTAAAAATAGATCCCTATGTGTGTGACTGATAAATATGTGCATGGCAGGTGTCCCGAGACATTTCTGGATGCATGCTTATTCCATATTCCAGGTCAGTGACTCTGCAAGTTGTTAAACAAGGACAAGAACCACAGCCATGTAATGTGCTTCTTTAAAGCTCGACTCTGGGTTCAGGATCAAATTCCTACCAATGTGGTCTTTTGGTGTCTGGGTAATGTCACAGGTCCTGTTTATCCCCTTCTCTCTCCGGCAGTGGGAAGATCCTAAATGTTGTATACAGAAGTGTGACCTCTCTTCACAGCATTCTGTTGGAACTTCTTGCACAGCCTCACGGAGAAACACAAGCACAGATATCAGATATGCATGCTGCACATGGCTTGGAAAAACGAAGGAAGCCACAGCTTTATTCTCTACCTTTTTTCAATACAACAGAGTATATACCATAGATACTCTATAACAGAACTTATAAACGCTGCCATCTAGTGACCGAAATTGTATACTGCAGAAGTTTTTGCTATAAACCAGGGGTCTTAAAGTACCGGCCTGCGAGCCGGTACTATGTGGCCCGCAGCCAGCTGACAAGTCGGGCACATGGATGCAGACTGTAGAGCAGTCTCTATTGGATGCAGACTGTAGAGCAGCTCCTGCCAGCTCCAGCCGGAGCTCTGACAGTTCCGGGCTCTGGCCGATTGATGGATGATTAGTAAGGTCTGCACCAGACCTTACTAATCACCACTAGATCACCAGGGAATGATGATGTGCCTCCTCCCTGCACAGATGCCAGCAGGTGAGGGGGCTTGGAAGGAAAGGAGGGAGGGGGGAGCTTTATTAATATGTGTGCTGGGGGCTTGGGAGGGAGGGGTGGGTTTATTATGTATATAGTAGCGGCCCGCACAGAACTAAAAAATGTATCCAGTGGCCCCCGACTAAATTGAGTTTGAGACCACTGCAATAAACACAGTAATGTGTATTCTAAAACATTCAGAAACACCTCACCACCTGAGAGGTCATTCTTTTTCCTTATAAGTCTGGGGGGGAAAGGACAGTCTCTTGGCACCCAAGTCCTACAGGAAGTCGGTTGAATGATGCTGGGTATCATTCCTCCTAGAAGAGGAGCGGTGAATCTGTAGGGAACAGTGCCGGAGATATTGTATGCATCGTAGCCGAGGCTGCTGTATTGTATTTTAGCTCATGCTGGCCAATGCAATTTGTATGCTCTGTACAACTAGAGTTAAACTTTAAATACAAATCGGCAATAGTATCTCCCATATTTCTATTCCAGCAGGTTTCTTTAAGGCTATTCTCTGGGTTTTCATACTTGTAGATGTAGCTGAACAAAGATAAGGACTTCTTTCATCTAAAGTTTCTCAGACAGGTGTCTCTACATCATGACTGGTCCCTTATAATATAGGTTGATCCACAGCAGATACTGTATATTAATGTATCTTTTCTTCCAACACTATCTAGGTGCCTCCTGGATGCTAACCTGTTGAATGACAATATAGACACCACATTAAAAGACATTGATCCTGCCGTGGATAAAGAATGGAATATGAAAGCATTGGTCATTACAGGAGAATTTTTGGTAACATAACACAGCTTTGTACATAGTGTGACATAGGGGTCTATTTATAAACAATTCACAGGGCCCTTCCAATATCTATGAACGTTCCTTTGGGGAGATTACTGTAATTCCAAAAACAAATGTTCTTAATATATTTTTTCCAGTTCAAATGCATTGTTATGCAATACCACATTTTGGCCAGTAGTTGGAGCTGAGGCATATAGGAAATAAGTACAGAAAGTGTTTATTTTTATGCTCCTCGGCTTCATCTAGTAACCATAATGTAGTATTATTCATTGAATTTCAAAATATACACCGCTCAATCCCCAAAGTTGAACTACAACTCAACCAGTCACATCAATCAGGTGCAGGTTCTAAGCATACCTGCCGGCGTAACAAAATCCTAAAATTCCAATATAGAGCCGCACATCCGACAGTTCATAAAAGAATCAGATTTTTTGAAAGGTCATAATGTATTACATTACATAAACACTGAGTGGCCAGATTATTATGACCACCTGACATTTGTAGGCAAATTAGCTATAATTGGCTATAATTTTGCGCTGAAGTTGCTAGAGGGCCAGACCATTATAAATAGGGAAGCAGGTTGTTTACCACGACAGTAGAAGTGATTTTTTTTCTGAAGATATGGCTAAACAACGCGATTTAACAGCCTTTGAACGTGGGATGATTGTTGGCGCTCGGAGCCATGGAGCGAGTATCAGCAAAATAGCAGAATTGGTTAAATGTTCAAGAGCAGCTGTTTGTAAAGTGTTTAAAGACTGGACTGTCAGCCGAAAATCTGGGTCTGAACGTGCGAATTGTGGCGTCAGCGACTAGTCAATGTTAGGGCAGAACGGAGAGTGGCAGTGTCAGATTCCTCGCATCACCTTTCAACATCTCATGGAGTCACGAGGCAGCCCAACGAAGTCATCTCGTGGAGTCATCTCGTGGCCCAACGAAGTACTGATGGGGTGGTCATAATAATCTGGCCACTCAGTGTATTTGACTGGAAAAGAAAATATACAGTATATAATGACATTAGTTTTTGCATCTACAGGTGAAACTCGAATAATTAGAATATCGTGCAAAGTTCATTTATTTCACTAATGCAACTTAAAAGGTGAAACTAATCTATGAGATAGACTCATTACATGCAAAGCAAGATAGTTCAAGCTGGGATTTGTCATAATTGTGATTATGGCTTACAGCTCATAAAAACCCCAAATCCACAACCTCAAAAAAGTAGATTATTACATGCAATCAATAAAACAAGGATTGTACATAGAACAATATCGGACCTCTGAAAAGTACAAGCATGCATATGTACTCAGTACTTGGTTTGGGCCCCTTTTGCAGCACTTACTG